TATTTCAACATTTATTTAAAAGCAATTGATTTTGAGCTTATTTTCTTTGAATTATCATATTTTAAGGAAATGTTTTTTAAAAACATAAATGAAAGCTAACTTAATGTGAACTAATGCTATGATGAGTCCAATGTAAATAACCCAACACTCGGGGCATTTACTTCGTGTCACTAAAAAAAATTATAAATAATATTTGATATTATATAAATTTAATGTAATATGAATTGTAAGTTCTATTAATAATTTGCAAGCCTAGAAGTTCTTATAAATTTTTATAATTTTTATGCGTTTTCGTTTTTTATTACTCTTTTAATTAAAGTTTTAATTTTATAAAACTCACTATTTGAGTAGGATCTGTGGATGGAGTTCCATGTATAGATAATGGTAAATTTTATCGTAATCCCAATGCAATTGGCGTTAGAGACTGTGCGAAGTACTATTGGTGCCCCCGACAGAAAGTGCTGGAATTCCGGTGTAGTGCCGGTCTTTGGTTTGATGTCGACCGACAGATCTGTGACTTTAAGTTAAAGATTGATAATTGCGAGAAATCTCACGGTATTTGATCATAAAAATCTAGGATTTAGTTTTTCATATTTATTGCAATCATTAATGCCGTTCAGATGCCAGTACTCCCCGTCCACTGCTCGCCACCGAAGAGCCCATATGTCCGAGCGGTCAACTGGCCTGCGCTGACAGGAAGTGCATTAATAGGGATTTGTTTTGTGACGTAAGGCTTTTAATTACTATAATAGCGTCAAAACTTATTAAAAATGCAAAAATCATACAAAAGGGACAAATAGATTGCGCCGACGGTTCCGATGAATCCTATTGCGACCCCGAGAATGATCCCAACGGTCCCGTCCGATGCAATGCAAACAACTGCACTCTTCCCGACTGTTTCTGTAGTACTGACGGCACTATTATTCCGGGACATCTTAAGCCGGAAGAGACGCCGCAAATGGTTATCTTGACGTTTGACGACGCGGTCAATAACGAGAATTGGGAAATATATCAGAAAATCTTCGCCTCCAACAGAACCAATGCAAACGGCTGTCCCATTTCGACCACTTTCTTCTTGAGTCACGAATACACTAATTACAGACACGTCCAGAAGCTGTGGAATGATGGCCACGAGATTGCCGTCCATTCTATAACGTACTGTTCATTTGGATTTAAACCAATTATTTCTGATTTCCTAATAATTTGATATAATTTTCAGACACAAACAGCCGGAGCTTTGGTGGACATTCAATGCAACGATGGAGGACTGGTTCGACGAATTCGCCGGAATGGCTAATATTGTCAATAGATTTGCGGGAATACCTCTCGACGAACTCCGCGGTACTAGAGTTCCCTTTTTGAGGGTTGGCTGGAATACACAGTTCATTATGGTTTGCATTGAATTTGATTCAATGAATACAATGTTTATTTCAATCGATGTATTGTCGGAACAGATGAAAGAATTTGGTTTCCTATACGACTCATCAATGGTGGCGCCCCGATCTGATCCTCCCCTCTGGCCATTCACTCTTGACTACAGAATACCCCATAAATGTCACGGCTCTCGACAAAGATGTCCGTCTCGTTCATTCCCAGGGATGTGGGAAATGATTATGAATCCATTCGACATCGAAGTCTGTATTTCAGTCATTCCTATTCATAATGGTATTAACGTGTGTCCATTATAAAGGGTCACATCTGTGCTATGGTTGACAGTTGTCCGACACATTTATCCGAAGATGAGATCTATGCCATGTTTATGGATAACTTCAACCGACATTATACTACTAATAGGGCGCCGTTTGGGCTCTATTTCCATACGATTTGGTTTAAAGAAAAGCAAAATTTTAAAATTCTTCTTCGATTTATTGATGATTTAATTCAGAATAAAGTATTTTATAATCTTTTCACTAAACATCTAATTAATAACTAATTGTCTCATTAATAGGATGTATTCTTTGTGTCTAATTATCAAGCGATTGAATGGATGAGAACTCCTACACCCATATCACAGCTGAATAACTTCGAGCCCTGGAAGTGCAAGAAAGACATTGAGCCCAACCTAATAGCCTGTAATCACCCGAAGTCATGCAAATTAGCGAGTCGTCAGGTTAAAGGGGAACGGTATTTGCACACATGCTTCGACTGCCCCGATGTCTATCCGTGGGTTAAAAATGAATTTGGATTAGAATTTAAATAAATTTCTAATTATAAACAACGAGATTATACAAAGTTGCAATAGTTTTTAAAACTAATTCAATCAAACACTCATTATATTACTCATTCAGAAGGGAACCACGAATTTTGACAATTTTGTTTTTTCAACAAAAGTTTTAATCTCATATGACATTGATGAAACTATTAAAGTTAATATTATTCATATTAACTAAAGAATATTAGAAAGTATACTACAGTATATACCTATTGAATAAAATACAGTGTAATCGTTCACATTACCATCATTATATCATTGTCTATAACTTTATTATAACATTCAATTTATATTTATATAAATTCCTGTACACACACATAAACTTTTGTAAACTAATATTTACATACAATAATTGTAATACAATTATAAATGTCACACAAATTATTGAGATTCGCGTGAATTGTATGAATCAATACTAGAATTTATTATTTGAATCAATAAAAAGGTTTTCAAATGTCGACAAACAGTCCAAGTGATGACAAATTGAATACTCATAGAGTGATCAGATATATTCTTCTGGTGCTATATTTGCCGATATGTGTACTCATATTATTGTGTTCGTTATATTTAACTTACATAACAGTTAATACTTGGGATTGTAGTTCAGAGCCAATTCACATCTCAAGTCATAACGATAGCCGTTCCCAATGCATTACGATAATAGATGTCTTGAGTCAGAGGATTATGGCAATCATACCACACAGAAAGATCATACTAAGTGT